GTTAGGCTGTTATAAGGGCACTCCCATCTCCTTCTCAGTAGACCCCCAGGCAGTCCCCGTTCGCTTAAAACCACATAGAGTACCCTTCGCCATCCGCCCCAAATTGGACGCAGAACTAGACAAGCTCCTCAAACAAGGGGTGATTGAACCCACTGATTTCGCTAAGTGGGAGACCCCCATAGTCACCCCACTAAAAAAAGATGGTAATTTAAGAACTTGTGCTGATTACAAGACATCAATCAACCGTTATCTACAGGTTAGCGCATATCCTGTCCCAGTCATTCAGCACCTGTTACACACATTCGAACCTGGCACCATTTTCGCCAAACTGGACATGTCACAGGCATACCAACAGTTCCCTGTGGATAATCAAACAGCTGACTTACAGACCATAGTTACACACAGAGGGGCATTCAGATGTAAACGTCTCCAGTTTGGCGTAAGTGTAGCCCCAGGTATTTTTCAATCACTGATGGAGCGAATTCTCCAAGGTCTCCCTGGCGTAGTGCCATATTTCGATGACATTTTAGTCTCAGCCAGGGACAGACCCCAACTCATCCAGAGAGTCAGGGCAGTATTAGAGAAGTTCAGGCAGCATGGCCTCAAACTAAAACGGGAGAAGTGTGCCATCGCCACTAGACAGGTGGACTTTCTAGGATACAGGCTAGACGCCTCAGGCATCCACCCGGTGGAATCTAAAGTCAAGGCCATCCACGAGGCACCCACACCTACCAACAAAACCGAGTTACAAGCCTTCCTGGGGTTACTGAATTTCTACGCTTCATTTCTCCCACACAAAGCGTCAGTCGCTGAACCGTTGCACAGACTCTTAGACAAAAACACACCATGGCACTGGGGACCCAAAGAAAACCATGCATTTAAGGCAGTCAAATCTCTACTCACCTCTGAGGCTGTCTTAATCCAATTTGACCAACGCCTCCCCTTGGTCCTAGCCGCAGACGCATCCCCTTTTGGGATAGGAGCTGTCTTAAGTCACAGACTCCCCAATGGCTCCGAGGCACCAATTGCCTTCTTTTCAAGAACCTTCTCAGCGACTGAACGTAATTACAGCCAAATTGATAAGGAGGCCCTGGCTGCAGTAGCAGCAGTCAAAAAATTCCACGAATTTTTATTCGGGCACCAATTCGAACTCATTACCAATCACAAGCCGCTTCTAGGATTATTATCAGGGGACAAGCAAACCCCACAGATATTGTCGCCCAGGATGACCAGATGGACCTTATTCCTCGCGGCTTACTCGTACAAACTGGTCTATCGTCCCGGAAAAAATCTAAACCACGCTGATGCCCTCAGCCGCTGTCCCTTGCCAGCCCCAGTCGAGGACCCAGCTCCTGTGCATGCTATCTTCGACGTAAACGAGCTCAAGCTGCCAGTGACTGCGGACGACATCGCGTCACATTCAAAAAAGGACAGAACAATCGCCCAGGTTCTGGACTGGGTAGGGAGGGGGTGGCCAGAAACTAACTATCCAGTTGATTTCACCCCATTTAAAACTCGCCAGCAGGAGCTTTCTAAGTTGCAGGGATGCCTGTTGTGGGGTACCAGAGTCGTCATCCCAACCACCCTTCGCATACCCATCCTGAAGGTGCTACACGAGGGCCATCCAGGCATCGTTCGGATGAAGGCGTTGGCTCGCAGTTACATCTGGTGGCCCGGGATGGACGATCAGATCGCCAAGTGGGTAAGCTCATGTTGACCCTGTCAGGAATCTAGGGCAGCCCCGCCAACCGCCACACCCACCAAGTGGGAAAGTGCCAATGCCCCGTGGTCACGGCTTCACATCGACCTGGCCGGACCAATGCACGGCAAGACTTTCTTGGTGGTCGTGGATTCATATTCAAAATGGATAGATGTGGCCTTACTTCCCACGACCACCACCCAGGCAGTTGCTAAAGCCCTGACTCGCCTTTTCGTAACTCACGGGCTTCCTGACACACTGGTCTCCGACAATGGCCCCCAGTTCACTTCGAACGAATTTAGCAGGTATGTCACCAATCTGGGCATCAGACATGTCCTCACGGCCCCTTTTCACCCTGCTAGCAATGGGTTGGCTGAGAGGGCAGTCAGATCGGCCAAGGAGGCGCTGGCCAGGTTCGGCCAAGAGGATTGGCACTCTAAACTGTCTCGTTTCCTCCTGAGCCAGCATACCACACCGTGCACGACCACGAACAAGTCCCCGGCCGAACTGTTAATGGGGAGACGCCTGAGGACTACTTTAGACAGGCTACACCCCCACTACTGCCCAGACACCCCTTTGGGGTCTGACAGTCTGGTCAGAGATTTTGCATTACAGGACCTAGTCTTCGCTAGGAATTTTGTGGGGGATCCGCTGTGGGTGCCGGGGAAGATCGTGGCTGTCACGGGTCCGAGATCCTATCGGGTCCAGCTCGAAGACGGTCGTGTGTGGCGGAGGCACCTGGACCAAGTAAGGAGGCGACGGAGCAGTCTGACCAGCTCGGAGCCGTGCCCCCTGGACAGTTTTCAAGTTCCCCACCAGAGTCCAGTCGAGTGTTACCAGAGGGATCAGCCATTCCCCGCAGAGCAGAGGGAGCCGGCAGTAGACCGGGACTGCCAACCTAAGACTCCACCGCTACCACCCAGCTTGGTCACCGGCCGTTCAGGCAGAGACTGTTCCCCGTGCCAGCCCGAAGGCAGGGACTCTTCCGGGGTCCATGATCCTGCGCCGAACCAAGCTCACTCCCCAACGCCCTCTAGCCTGGGCTCCGCGAACTTGTGGCCACTCAACGACTCCCCTGAGCTACGACGCTCCGGTCGCCAACACAGACCACCGGCGTATCTCAAGGACTATACATGTTCCCATCTAGGGGGGAGGGGTGTTGTGTCTTTGGGACTAGTTGGGGTTTCCAACCAGGTCCGTTCTTTAAGCAGGAGCACCAGCAGCTCCCATTGGTTGGCTCTGTTTGACAGTCGGCTATAAAAGCCGGCTGTCAAGCCAAGCCAGTTGTTGTTCGCTAGCAAGCCTGCCTGTTAGCTGGCAGACGCGACAACCCTCGTTCTTTGAATAAAACCTTGTTGATTGCATGCTCTGGTCTAAGCCTCTCCTTTCCTTCAAACTACAACATCTTCCTATTCCCAATTAGTTTGGGATCAATATAGATACCTAAGTTGATTCTTGCCAACTACATCTTCTTTTCTTATCGGTCTTTTCCAGATTGCAATTTATGTCAGCTAATAGAAAGCAGCATTCAATGGCTGGGTTGGATCATACCCATGGAACACAAAAATTTTGAGTGCAGATTATCCCAAGTGAAAAACCATGATTGTTGGTTGTGCTAAACTGCATCTCATCAGAAAACTGTAATTAAGATAGATGGTTACATGGTGTATATGATAAATATATGAATTTGGCTTGGTTAGACACTTGTATCTAAAGGACACACATATGGAAGATTGCAGAATTATTTATACTCATACCATGAAACATTTTTCACTTTTATATCATGACTTTGACAGTTTTTACTGAAGTTTCATTGGAACAATGTAACCTACAAATCACAATGTCAATTTATGCAAAAACATTAAGCATGAAGAGAGAGCTTGTAAATAAATAGATAATCTGAAGACCCCATTACTTGATTGAAGAGGGTGATTGGTTTTTTTAATGAGTTTAATATTTTATTTTTATTTCGTAGAATATTTTTATGTAGAATTAGAAAATAACTAGATATTTAAATTCATATTCACAAATGTTTTTGTAACAGCAATTTGTGCCATGCTGTATATTAGCATAAGTGAAATCAGTTCTTGAAAGTTGCTATCCTGAGGAAGTAATTCCTGTTAAATTTAGTTGAACTGGCATGACTAGACACACAGGTTTACAACTTAAGCTTTGAAAGGCAGGCTTGGATTTGGTTAAATCTCACATCTGGACATGGGTACAGGAGACACCTTTATGTTTTCTTGCTGTATTATTTCATTTTTGTTGGCAGTGAAATCAAATCCTCAAGGTGAGATGGAGACATTATGGAAAAACGTCTCATCAAAAGTAAGGAATGGAGTAAAGGAGGAAGTTGGTGGAATTGTAAACAAGCAAAAACCAAACAACTCTTTTGTAGGAACAATTCGGGTCATTGATCATTCACCAATAATGGTATTCCGATAAATTCAGGATACAGAGATAAACCATTTTATGCAGCATTATTAATTTGGTGTACAAGATGCCTTTTAGATTTGCATCTTCAGGAAGTTCTTGGTTAGGAAAGAGGTGGAGCTGGGACACTCCATTTGTACTCAAGACTAGCTAACAGGCCTTGTCATGGGCTTTGCCCCCTTCTGTGGCCATCAACACCCAAACTGGAGCTATGAATGGATCTGCAAAAGGAAGATGCTTCAAACTGCTCCATAGGTTTTCATTTTCACCTGCTTGGGAAGTGCACAGGGGTGAGAAATGGCATTGAACATAGTGGGGGGAGCCACACTTTCCTCCATGCCCTGATAGTTCTAACCTCCCTAAAATTGGAGGCATTTTAGAAAGATTGGGAAATAACAGCGGAGCACATTCCCTAACAAACTGAGGTATCCTTCATTCTCTGAGTCATCTGACATCATGGTTCATGTCAGCTGTGGCTGAGCCTGCTGAGAAAATTAACTTATACCGATCAATTCATTAGGGGGATGAACACTTATACTGATCAAAGTGTTAGTTGGAATCAGGGTAAGCTAGGATCATTTTTTTATTTCAGTATCCCATATTGCTGGAGAAATTTGACTAAAAACATTACTATATAGCCTTGTTAGATACTTCCTTAAATATCTAGAACAGAACAGGGGTTTAACTCTTAACCCAGTGATTTTATTCAGAAAATCCCTTACTTTTTGTATTTATATACTAATATGTGGAAGCAGAAACTTTAGATCCCGAGAGTGAATGTCAAATTTTACACAAGGCTTCGAATTCACTCTGCTGAGGGAATTCTAAAAGGTGGCACATTGGACCCCCTTTAATGCAAATTGATGTAACCAACTTACAGCTTAAAATATGTCTATATTATCCTTACATATTTATTCACACTGATTGGTATTTTGAAATATCAGAAGGAGGGCAAATGGATGTTCCTTAAAATGCATGAATTAAGACATGGTTTTGGATCTTACCCTTTGTTGATATTAGGATGTTCACTGAAGGACATTTGCACCCTATTTTGCTGCTACAGCCCCTGAACTATATATGAAAACATTTGAAACAATTGAGAGATTCTCCTAAACAGAGATATTGGGAACTACAGGACAGAAGTGGGCTAAGAAAGTTTCCTTGCTTACTTAAGGACAAACCATGTTCTCTCACCGAAGGCCCTTATTTCAATCTTGCTGGCTTAATTCCAGGAGACGGCCAGCGAAAACTGCAACGGTTCCAATGATGCAAACTAACATGAAGATGCCAAGGAGAAGATGATCAATCACCATTGCAACAAACTTCCATTCTTCTGCAGCCTGATGGTTAAAAAAAAGAAATGTAAGGAAAAGAAATCAGAATTTTCATAAAGCCAGGAGTTATGTAAATGGCTTTTCTCTTCAAAATCTTTCTTCTTTTGATTGACCAAAGATATGATTGGCAATGAAAGTCAATAACTATACATATGACATATGGAAGACTGTGACTTAGAATGTAAGAAAAACAACAAAGAGGTTGAGTTAATAAGTGAAATAATATAATAAAAAATAAAAGGAATTGAAAGTAATGATACAATAAAATAAAAATGAGCTAAATACAAAAGTAAGTGATCAGTACAAAAGAAATACATTCCTTCCTCATATTGTTAAACAAATTTAACATATTTTGGGTTTTATGATTAATTTCTCAACAAAGATATAATGAGTGCCAAGGAAGATCTGGTTGTTATTGGAAAGTGATTTGCAAACACACAATTCATCCTACAGATCAGGAGTGCAAACTAGTGTCATCACGGTGGTGTCACATGATATATCACGACTCCCCCCCCTCCGTTTGTTAAACCGGACATGGACGTGGCCAACATTTGACACATCCGGCCCGCGGGCCAAGAGTTTGACACCTCTACTACAGATAGAAGCATACATGATTTGGGAAGGACCAGATAAAAGCTCTATTTATCCCAGAGCACATTTACCTGCTATTACAACAAGCTGTATAGTTTGCTTCCAAATCTATTTACTGTATTGAACAATTATTACATTTTTGGCCAGAGGAGGGAGCCAAATACTATTCAGTAACATTTGACTAGGTGGCTACTGAGACACTGAGCTGGAAAGAAAAGACAAAATTTTCTTGTAGCAACAACTTTTTAATATTTTGGTTATTTGGGGAATAATCAACCTTGTCACCTGTCTGGCACCCTGCCCCACTGAACTGTGTTTTATTTAGAGGTGTTCTTTTAAAGAAAAAACAATCTAAATGGAAAGATAGGATGGTGAATAGAAAACCATCAAAATCAAGTCTCATTTTTTATTTCTAAGATATCTCTATATCCTAGATCAGATTTAATAAGACTTTTCTGGTAGAAGAAAAAGAATGGGTGGGTGGTGGAATCCACCCACCCCTCTCCTAGAAGAATTAAATATTTTGGGAAATGTTAAAAAGGCATACTATTATATTTCCCTCAATGAGAAATGGAGAAACATGTTTTTTAAAGACAGAAAGCAGACTCAATCTCCCTGCCCCCAGCAGATACTGAGGCCAGCTTTTAGAAATGCAGTTTGGGTAACCCATTCAACAGATATTTTGAAACAAAGGCAGAATGGTAGGATTAGCTCTCACTCAAGATCTAACACAGCCATTAAGCCACAATAGGAATTATTTCATCAGCCTTAGAGCAATCCAAACTTCAACAAAACTTAGCTCAGACAAACACCTAGGATTTGTACTTTTCCTATAGAGCCAGCTATGACCCCTACATAACCCCCACAATGACCCCATTGGAATCTGGAAACAGCCACTGGAATACATGTGCTTGCATAGGAACAGGAAGCTCAAGTGCAAAGGTTACAGGAGGTATAAAAACCCCTCATTCTCAATTCCATTTTGTCAGCTGCACCAGAACTATGTGCTTGGTGGTTCTGTTCATCATTAAATCTTCTTTCCAATCAACCTCCATGTTTCCAGTGTCTTTCTCCCAGCATGGAACTGAACCAGATGGATATTTCTTCCAACAGAAATATGCTCATTTCTCCATGGGCAGCTTCTTGGAGGGAAGAGCTGCCCTTCTAGTAAACGGGGTTTTCCTAACTGGCTGTCCTTTTTGCTGCAGCCATTTTAAGAGAGCGCCTGTGACATATTCTTAGGCTTCCAAATAATCCCTTACTGAAGCCCCAGCCCTGCCCATGGGAGATGCCCTTTTAGAGAAACTCTCTAAAAGCCACACAGCCAAGTTGTCCAGGAAAGGTTTGGTTTCTGTACCCAAACTTTGTGGATATGCATACATATATTGTAACCTATCTTCTCTCTCCCCCCCCGCCCATTCCCCTTCAGGATCAGCCATATTATACAAAGTGTTGGAAGGAAGGAAGAAATAACATGCACAGGAAATTAAACAGAAGAATTAAGAAAGAAGGAAATAAATATAATTAACTCTGGTGTACATCAACACTATTCACTATATTGTTACTTCCTTTCTATTTTTGCAGACGATTCTTTCACCATGTCCGTATGCTGATTCTAGGAATGTGCAAAACTCACCAGTGCAGGAATCCAATAAGTTTGTGATCCCAGAATTTTCTGTTTCCCTTCTGAATCGTGCTAAACCTACTTCAGACCATGCAATTTGGCACTATCCAAAAATAAATTCCCCTAACTAAAAGCAGATTGTTCTGGACCAGTGAGTATCACGTGTTCCTAACTGAATTTAAATATTACATTCACATTTCATTTAATACAATATGGACATTGCTCTGTACTCCTATTACACATTACTTTGCTTTTTGAGGATTACAACTTTCTTGGTCTTCCTGTCCTCTTGATGTATTCATTTTTTAGGCACTAACATTTATAAAAGTTAATTCCACTCTTCAACATATGCTCCTTCCACCATCCTCTCAATTCCTTTTCATCCTGAATGATTTTATCTTTTTCATTTTTAAGTTCACTCATTCTGCTGGAGGGTCCTAATTTAGCCTTTTTCCCCTGCACTTCAAAAAAACAAAAAAAAAACCAATTTGGAATGAAACGGAAGTGATGGAATGTTGAAAGGAATATTTTAATTATGTGTGTAAGATGGATAATAATATGTTGACTATGTTAGATGCTTTTCCTCCCTGATATGTCTAAAAGCAATTTTAATTCCGAACAAAATTGTTCTATAGTTCTTAATCTTAACCCTTCCTTACTCTCTTGGACTGTATACTTGCAACTATTTTTTCTCTATAAATTATGCATAGTCTTCCTCTTGATGTAGAGTAGCTCCTCTTGGTATAGGTCTAGTGTAACTCCACACATTTCTGTGGAACTTTGTAGCTTAAGTCTTTACTGTCTGACCAAAGCAACTTCCACAACCTTAATGAATATATGAATACATTTATTCTTAAATATATTTTAAATGCAGATATTTTAAATGCAGATATGCACCAAAATTCTTGGATCTGTAAGTAATCCAATCATTATTCTTTATGCTTTTATCTTGTTCCTATTCATTTATTCATGTTACCTAATGTCATATTTTTTTTCTTATTCACTGAGAAAGTTGCACTTTGTTTTTCAATTATTGAAAAATACCTCTGCTTTTTCCATTGTATAACATGCAACTATCACCAATTTATGGATTTCTTCTTTGATATACACCCATAACTATCCAGATGATCTCCATTCATACTTCCTGATGTGTGTTTTAATCCATTCATTTATATTATGTGTCATTTATATTATGTGTATTTATATTATCACTGCACAATATATTCAGCTGTTTCTCTTTCTTTCTCTTATTTTCATAAATATAAAAGATTTTTGTATCCTTTTCTTCATTTTCTTCATGTTCTTTACGATGTAGTTCTTAACAAGTTGCGATTTTCCATATGCCATAGTTATCCACTGGTGAAACAGACTCATCAATACAGATAGTCCTCGACTTACAACAGTTCATTTAGTGATGATTCAAAGTTACAACAGCACAGAAAAAGTAACTTATTGCCATTTTTCACACTTACAACCATTGCGGCATCCCAATGGTTACCTGATCAAAATTCAAATGTTTGGGCAATTGACTCATATTTATGGCAATTGCAGCGTCCCAGGGTTATGTCATTCCCTTTTGCAACATTCTGACAAGCAAAGTCAATGGGGAAACCCAACTCACTTAACAACCATATTACTAACTTAACAACTGCAGTGGTTCACTTAACAACTGTGGCAAGAAAAGTCGTAAAATGAGGCATGACTCACTTAACCAGTGTTTCGCTTAGCAACATAAATTTTGAGCTCAGTTGTGGTCATAAGATGAGGACTACCTGTATTTACCTACATCACATCAGGAATGAAATTCACACGAGAAGGCAAAAACAGTATTGTCTATTTTGTGGTTCAGAATATTTTGAGGGCTTACATATTCCTAGAACTGTCTGTCTGTGTTTCTTTCTCTCTGACACACACACACACACACACACACACACACACGTACGTCATGATTTCAAAGGATTCACACCGGATTATTAATTCTTACATCATTGGATTCTTGATCTGATTTCATTGACTCGGCAATGTATTTGATGCCTTCAATTGCACTTTTAACATCTGGATTTTTAGTAAGTGATGTCTGGAAATTCATAGTCGCTGGTCCTTGTTTCCCTGAGATTTCAGAGATATCTATGTCATCAGTGAAAATCCTGTTCTCCTGCTTATTTTTGGATGGACGCTTCATTGTTGAGAAAAACATAACATTTGGAATTGTTTCAATAAATATCTGAAAGAAATATAGATACTGATTAGAGAATTTAGACAAAACTATCATATGTCATTTCTCTTCATCACAAAAGAAAATAGATTACAGTACCGTTTGACACTGGGATGCTAACTGGGACTCAAGGAAGCAACAGGACTTATATCAGAATAATTCAAGTCACCCACTATTGCTTACTTGTTTAATGATTAAATGTTCAGCTATTGCTTAGGAAGGGAAGTTAGAATGGACTTTTATGAACTACAGAGCAAATACTGGTTTTATTATTGTTATTGGCATATTGAATGGAGCTGGCCATGAAGTTTCAGATGCTAAAAATGAAATCAGCTGACTTCCTTGTAAGCTTCTTTTTTAATATATATATATATATATTTTATTGTTCAAAATTAATTAAAATGGAAAAAGAGAAATGCAAGCAATATTAACAAAATAATATAACACTAAAACTATCCCCTAGCCACTGAAAAGAAGATAGAACAGACAAGAAAAAAAATAGGTTACTTGACTTATATACAAAATAACTTACAGTTGAAATATAAAATAAATTTAAATTTAACTTAATTGCTTGAAAATCTTCTTCCTTGGCCTTTCAGTTCAAACACTGACTTAACAACAAGCCATTGCTACAAGACCTTTATAGGGTTAGATGCTTCAAAGAAGTCGCATCCTTCTGCTTATGCTTCACTGGAGCAATTGGAGCTAGGATGTCTATATTGCCTCTGATAAAAAGAGATAATATCGAGCTATTTTATCTAGGATCTATTGAGAGCTTATTTTATTGATCTCTTCTTAAAGGTGTCCATCACCTCATTTGTCTCACTAAAGTCTATTGCTTGGGGAATGTACTGAATGGAGATATACTTCCTTTTATTTATCTCAATCTCCTGTCCTAAGCTTGAAAAATGTAGGCCAGCTTACCTTCCTCACCCACTGTGGCATAGTATGGGTGCTGGGTGAGCGATGGTGGATATTGATCACTATGACGGTGATGATGATAGAAGTTATGACAAACACCATGGTGAACAACATGTATTTGCCAATCAAGGGAACAGAACTGGAAGTTGAAGGAATCAGCTCCACAATGACAAGAAGAAACACAGTCAAAGAAAGCAGGACAGAGATGCTCAGAGTCATCTTCTCCCCTGGGATAAATTAGGAGGAAATAGTAAATTGAAGAGATTAGCAAACAAAATAGGAGGAGGGAGTGCAATTGCTGCTTCGTGAGAAGTCAGATAAGCATTACATTTGGGTAGCCAATACAATATAGTGATTCAACCCTACTATAATGTATTCTAGAGTCATCCAACCATTTGTATAAATGTAAAAGTAATGAAAATAAGTCTTATATTGCCCCCACAATAGTTGGATAATGCTCCAAGAAGTCATAAGTCATTAGTGGGGAAGCTGTCCATGATCCGGGAAACCTAGGTTAGAGTTCCCACTCAATCATGAAGCTTTCTGGGTGACTTTGCACTGGTGTCTCTTTGTTATCCTAAAACTGGGGCTGGAATGTAGCAATACATATAGGCATGTAGTTCTTCATCAGATGATCTTGATGGCTCTATAAATGGGGGGTTAGGTCCCAGACACAGAGGTCAGCTCCTTGCTGCCTGATTTAATCAACATGATCAATTCCATTTGGGCACTCATAACCCAGGGTACCAACCTATTCCCAAGATCTATGCAGAGGATTGTGTGAGAAGCCCACATCCTTAAGAGGAGCAAGCCACTCTGACATCCAACATCCAGCCACCCGATCCATACAAATAAGGCATGAAGATTATGTTCTGCCATTTCTCCTCTTTCCCCTGTCTCCCTTCCTGATTTTGTAGCATATTTCCTAGGATGCCGAGTCCTATATGCCCTTTAGCTGCAAAGGCGAAGCAATTAAGTTTAGCAAATTCTCAACACACTTTCCAACATTATTCCAAGTGGATTTCCCCCACCCACCCACCCAAAAAAGGCAATAAAGACACATGCACAGACATATACGCCAAAATGGCTTTGTTGATGTACACAGGCAAACCGAGTCTCTTTGGCTTTAAAACTTTTAAAGTTCACCTTTAAGGCAGAATAACTCAGGGTAATGCCAGAGAGATGCAATCTGATATTCATACGTACATACCTGAGTCTGTAGGGAGATAAAATACTAATCCAGTCAAGAATGAGAAGAGAAGGCAAGGAATGATGACGTTGACAATGAAATAAAGAGGCAAACGCAGCAATATAAAGTGATAGGTGATATCAAGATACGGCGTATCAGGGCAACAAGAATAGTTCACCGAGTGCCAATAACCTCGGTAATCTTTTATGGTCCATTCTCCACTGGGCATGTAGTTATTCAGATCTGGACGGGGACCTTCCTGAAAAGGGAAATGCTTCCTTCTAATAAATGAAATAACCATGTCTTGTGATTCCATGCTATTTCATACTAGAAATTCCATTCTAAATATTGATATTGAATAAATTGATAGTTAATGCTTAGCCTGGGTTTAATCTCATTTCTGTCATACAGGTAGTCCTCAACCTATAACTAGTCACTTAGCAGCTGTTTTTTTGGGGGGAAACTGGACCAGAGCAAACCACTGGTTCGCTTAACAACCACAGTATTCGCTTAATGACCAATGCAAAAATGGTTGCAAAATTAAGTCATTCGTATGGGTGATCTGGTTTACCATTGTTATGATCATGATGGGAAGCTCCGTTATGGCCATAAGTTGGGAACTATCTATATTTATATCTGTACAAATCAATCATGCTATGAATGATCAGCAGAAAAAGGAGAAGGAGCCGCCCCAGTAGTCCCTGGCTGGATACTGTAAAAGGTGACACTGGGATGACCATGGTGAACCTGAAGGGGGCAGTGCGAGACAGAAGGGCATGGAAAGTGCTGAACCATAGAGTGGCTGAGGGCCAGACATGATTGAATGGCTGATGAGGATGATGACATACACATGGAGGAGTTAAACATATACAGAAGCCTCTAACTTTAAAAACTGGAGCAAGTAGAAATGGAATTTACTGTCCCTTTCTTTTCTTTTCTTTTTTCTTTTGAGTTTTAAAATGAACTTTATTTGCAACGGATTAAAACGATATAAACCTACGAGTATACAGAAATAAAAAATAGTAAACATACTAATAGGACAGTAAACATATTTACTATCCCTTTCTTAACTCTCAAAACAGCCATAAGTTCCTCTGGGATAGAATGTGGTGGTTTTAAGTCACGATGGAATTAAATGAGGACTATGCAAAGCCTAACCAAGATTGTCCTTCTCCAAACCCAAACGTAACTCAATCCAAACTCTATTTTAAAAGTCTTCGAAAAGGTTGGGTTTGCATATGCTTTTTTTTTTTTAACGTGTAAGTTAGTTATATGAGTTACCTGATTATACCAGACAGTCCTAGAAAAGAGAAAATGGCTTTCCACTAAGAAATCAGAGGCCATGCTTTTGAAGACTAAATAGTCCTTGCCGATCTTTTACTTTAAAAAAATAATAACAGAGCATGGGTCTCTATAGGATTCTTTTTAAAATCTGAAAAAAATCTGCCAGATCACAAAACTACAGGAGAATGAAGTTTAGGGACTTTATCCGTCTGTAAGGTTAGAGCATCTGGATACATTCAGTATTTCTCAGCATTTTTCTACAATTATACTTTTGTTGCACATATAGATTTATTTGGGAGAGGTAAAGGCTTCCTTTTGCTTTAAGCATTTTCTAGCCATCAATAAATCATTAGAAAAGTGATCTGACAATAAGTCCCATGATTTTGTTCAAATTTTCAAATGAAAAGCTACATTTCCCTTACACCTCTGAGTAGTGCTAAAGAAGGAGAGGAGAGGAGAGGGGAAGGAAGGGGAGGAAAAAGAAAGGGAAGGGAAGGAAAAGGAAGGAAAGGAAAGGCATCTTTATTCATATATAATAATATGAAAATGACTAAAGGTACCAGCTACTCTAGAGAACCAGTTTGGTGTAGTGGTGTTAAGCATCGGATTAGAAACTGGGAGATTGTGAGTTCTAGTTTCACTTTAGCAAGAAAGCCAGCTGGATGACCTTGGGCCAGACACTTTCTCTCAGCCCTAGGAAGAAAGCTAGAGGAAACCAATTCTGAAAAACCTTGCCAAGAAAACTGCAGACTGCAGAAAGCCCAGATTGTTGCCAGGAGTCAAAACTGACTTGGAACAGAACGAACCAAAAACAGTTACCTAACTAAAGCCTACCGGGTAGATGGCAACCAAGGTACCATCGTAAGTCCAAGTTCCCAGCTTCATACTGCAGTTTTGCTCATCAAAGGGGAAGTGGGTGACTATAATTTCACAGTAGCTTTTGAAGATGGCTGGTGGAGTCCATGTGATATGTCCTGTATAGTTCAGAAGAGCTTTGGTGAACTGGTCAATAGCAAAAATTCCATCTGCACTAAAAAGAAGAAGAAGAAGAAGAAGAAGAAGAAGAAGAAGAAGAAGAAGAA